AGAGGAAAGTAAACCCCTTATATCATATAAACCAAATACAACGAATAAAGCATCAAGCTTCTTTGACCTAGTCGATAGATCTCAAGTAGCTTATGATCTGTCTCGTCTTATTTACACCTAAATGTGACTAAAATAATAATAATACCTTTAACGTTTAAGAGCAAAAACTAAGTGGGTAAACAACACCATTAGTCATCAAAACTCTGGTGTGCATTAGATAACCTTTCATAATGAGAAGGGTATGGATGTGAGCTTTTGATGTCATCCGGGATTGTACTAAATGATAGTGTGCATTGGATCACCTTTCATAATGTGTATTTTCCCATGGTGTATGATATCAAGCATATAAGCTGGCCTATACATGTCAATTTCCCTGCATAAGTTTCCCAGCATCTTCTCAGCCATTCTCAGCTCATGCAAATCCCAAAACCAACTCTACCAAATCCATGCCCACGTAATTAAACAAGGCCTGCACCGCCATCAGTTCCTCATCAGCCATTTTATTTCCCTTTCCGCTTCCCTCTCCTACTCCACTTCCATTTTCGATTACTTTGCCCACCCCACCACTTTCCTTTGGAACTCTCTCCTTAATGGCTACTCCAAAAAATCCTCTTTTCACCAAACGTTCTCGCTTTTTATCCGCATGAAGACTGAAGGCGGGCTTCCTGATAAGTACACCTATCCTTTGGTGATCAAAGCTTGTTCGAGTGAGGTTAAGGTATGGGAGGGGAAAATGGTACACGGATTAGCTTTAAAAGGTGGATGCAAAAAAGATGTTTTTGTCGGGACGAATTTGATCGATTTTTATTCGAAAGTTAAGGATGTGTTGAATGCGAAGAAAGTGTTTGATGAATTGCCGGAGCGAAATGTTGTGTCGTGGACGGCTTTGGTCGTTGGCTATGTCAACGTTGGCGATTTTGTGGAAGCTAAGAGAGTGTTTGATTTGATGCCGGAGAGGAATGTGACTACGTGGAATGTTTTGATGCATTTGATGGTCAAAACAGGGGATTTGATGAATGCTAGGAAAATGTTTGATGATATGCCTGAAAGAAATGTGATTTCTTATACTACGATGATTGATGGATATGCAAAGGCCGAGGATATGGCGTCGGCAATGCATTTGTTTGAGCAGGCTCCGGAGAGAGATGTCGTTGCGTGGTCGGCAATGATTTCAGGATATGAACAAAATGGTCAACCTAATGAAGCTGTCAGGATGTTTGTTAGAATTTGGGAAATGGATGTCAAACCGGATAAATTTATTCTGGTTAGCTTGATGTCTGCTTGCTCCCAGGTGGGTAATTTGGAGTTGGCTAAGTGGATTGATAGTTATTTAAGCGGAAGTGATATCGATGTTAGCCAAAAACATGTTTTAGCAGCTCTTATTGATATGAATGCAAAGTGTGGAAACATGGAAAAAGCAGCTAAGTTGTTTGAGGAGATGCCAAAACGGGATGTGGTTGCATATTGCTCTATGATACAAGGATTGACTATCCATGGTCAACAGGCTCAAGCTATTCAGCTTTTCAATAGGATGATAAACGAAGGGCTGGTTCCAGATGAAGTAGCCTTCACTATTATTCTGAATGCCTGTAGTAGTGCCGGGAATGTTGAGGAAGGTTGGAATTATTTTAAAATCATGAAAAACGATTACTGTATTGTCCCTACACCAGATCATTATGCTTGCATGGTTGATCTCTTAAGCCGGGCAGGACGGCTAAAAGCAGCCTATGATCTTTTAAAATCTATGCCTGTGGAGCCTCATGCTGGTGCTTGGGGTGCACTTCTTGGGGCCTGTAAGTTGCATTGTGATGTCGAGTTAGGGAAGTTGGCTGCTGCTAAGTTGACTGAACTCGAACCTCTAAATGCTGCTAATTATGTCTTGTTGTCCAACATTTATGCCAACGCAGAGCAATGGGTGAATGTTGCTCATGTGAGGAATAAAATGAAGGAGCAGGGTCTGAGGAAAGTACCTGTTTGCAGTTGGATTTAATTCACTAAGTGAAGTTGTTATTGGCTTTGAGAAAACTGCACCATCTTGAAGTTTTTGGCAGTGAGATTTTATGACAAATTACAATATAAAGATTAAATCTGCAGTATATTGCTTCAGATTGTTCTGAAATACGATAGCACGAGGAACCATAAACAACGAGAACAGTTACGTTGGATTTATTTATTAGATAGTTTACATTCACAAACATATGTAACAGCGTACAATAGAATTCCCGAAGGATGAAAATGCAAGTAAGGCTTATTCATAAACGCAGATAGATAACTTTTCAGCCCAAAGTGTACACCTGTGGGAACTTATTGGGATACAAATTGTAAACAAAAGATGCATGCTTGGATAAGACTTTGTATTAGAGGTATTCGTTAACTGTGAGAGGTTTAGGGCCACCAGGTCCGTTAATCATGAATATGTTCTCGATCTCGAGTTTGAAGATCTGAAAGCCATGACTTGTAGGCCACCCTGTGGATCAACGATTGCGAATTCGGTCATTGCAGTAGAGAAAAGCAAGTGAATGGCAGTCATTCGACTTTGGGGGTCAATAAATGCCTTTCATCTCGGGATGCTTTGTCAACAGGGCAGCTTGAGCGAATCCCCACTCTCCTGAGCTTGTATCAAGTAGTACCGTATAAAAATGACTTGGGATATATAACGTAGGTTAGATGTTTACATGTCCACGTACCGTTTTATGTGAATCTTATGAGTATAATCGTTAAATTCCAGCTAAAAGAATATTGGAAATATTCTTACATGTATAGCCGTGTTCAAAAATTATATTTTAAAAAAAAACAAGAAAACAAAACCTTAGCAGCCACCTGTTCTAAGTTGTTCTTGATGTATACTAAACTTTTAAATGGTGCCTTGAGACAGCTTCTTTAGCAGCATCTGTAAGCTTCATGACAAGTTCCATGAGATGAGAGCCTGCAACATGCTAAATTTTTTCCTACATGAAGGAACTCAATCAATCTACCACCTTTCCTATATTAGAATCTATCTAGGGATTGTCATGGATCAGGTCGGATTAAGGTTTTAGACCATTTAAATTTGATACATGTATAATATGTATCTACTCGTTACTCGACTCGTTGTAGATTTAGAGAAGTTTCATCCAATTCAAAATCGGACCTAATTTTTAAGGTAAAAATCTATATCTGATCCGACACACACACACACACATATATATATATATATATATATATATTATTTTAGATAAACTCTATCTCATTTTTTAACTGTACGAATGAAACAAAAATAAATTAAATCATCAATTTAAAAAAAGAAATCAATTAAGTTCTTCTATCGTATCATATTCACATGTGATCTATCATGTTAATATCTTGAATTATCACGTTAATACTTTAATGATTAACAATAATTTTCGTCATGCAAAGAATCACATCAATTAATTCTTTTGATTAAATTAAGGTGATTATAAAGTGGTATATATTATAAGTACTTTTAACTATTTAACAATGAACGTTAATTATCTTTACGGTTGATGATTTCTAAAAATAATAACAATTCATGTAAAATTAAAAAAAAATTAATTTAGAAGTCTAATTACTTTTTAAACAAAACATAGACTTTTCACACCCTTAAACCAATAATCTCTTAGCAACGACACGTGAAAGGTACATATAATAAATGTAATTAGTGGATTTGGTTTGGTTTGGTTTGATTTATTGACTGAATGATGTAGATGGCACCAAGTTCGATAGCTATGGCTTATCCTAAAATGCAGGTGGACAGTTAGGGATTGGATAATCCTTTTACGATTTACTTGCATGAATTAATTATCCTTTAATTCAGGTGATATTACTTCTTTTATTTACCGTGCATTAGTTTATAATTCTATCATTTCCAGACACACGTATAATTTTACCATTTAAGAGACCAAAACTCTTGTCACTTCGTGGTTGTCAATATATAAATGGGTAAGCTACAAAAATGACCACCCAATTTTGGGCTTGGTCTCGAAACGATCACTATTTTCAAATTTATATCAATATGACCACTGAACTATTTAAATGATTTTAATATAATTATCAATAAAATTAGTATAAGTAGGATGCCGGTCCTTGAGAAGTTACATATTTGTGGCCCTGGAACCCGACTTCGTTTTATTCCATTTTAGTCACTACTTGTATATGATCTGTTTCCTTTGATTTTCATTTAATGCAATTTGATCATGATTTTGTTTTTAATTTTTCTAATACAATTTTCTAAGAAAATTTTTCCAGTTTCGGTTATAAGTTTTTAGATTCTAATGCAATCTGATATCCAGTATTTTTACAGTTTTGGTTATAAGATTTTAGATTCTAATGCAATTTGATATTGTGCAGATGTGTGGAACCTAAGTCAAAGGTAGGAAGGCCGAACCACCCACCAAAAGCGAGAAAAGAATATTTTTTTAGCATCAAAATCCAATTTTTATTGTATGAATGAAACAAGTGACAGCATACCATTATTCTTTTTCACGTTCAAAAGTTATGAACAGTTTGACAATTGAGATGAACTTCCGATTCCCTCCGACAATCGTCGATCACTTGAATGATTCTTAATACAAGTTACTAAGACCATATATTGATAAAGGATGTTTTCTTAAGGACGAAAATCTATGGACTAAAAACAGACATGTGGTGAGACCGAGACAGTCAAACCCGGCACGGTGGGGCTTGCTTTTCTTCACCTTGGGTGCCGTTCTCGATCGAGTAAGTAGGACAGAACTTAAAAGGCAACCGACCGACGAAGTAACCTTCTGTTTCAGTCTGCGGTCCCAAGGAAATGTTCAACCTTTCTTGTCGGTTACTTTGCTGCTCTGGCGGGATCCAAAGTCTCAAACCGGTTTTACACATCCATCCGAGGCTCATGAAAAAGAACAATACGTTTCATATTGCATAGTCCGAATGGAAAGGGAAGGGAATTGCTTCTTCTTATTAAATCTGTATGTCTTCTTTGACTACAACCAAACTACACAATTCATTAAGTCCGAATGGAAAGGGAAGGGAATTGCTTCTTCTTATTAAATCTGTATGTCTTCTTTGACTACAACCAAACTACACAATTCATTAAGTCCGAATGGAAATGGTTATATATATCTATCTATCTAATGATAATAACTATAGTTTCTAGTTCTACAAATGGGTTAGTGATAATTGAAAATTGGAATCTTTCACTTTCTCCATGCATAAACGACCAAGGAGAAGCCAGTGGGAGCACTTAAACCACTCTCCTCCACGCTTGCCCACTCCATCACCGACGAGCTAGATCCCGATGAAGCCGACGACATCGATATCGAAGACGACGATGAGCTTCTAGCAGTCCTCAATAAGCTTCTCCTCCTCTTTCTCAATTCAATGCCATTATTGCCAACACTACTACAACTTTGTTGCCACAAAACGACACCCTTCTTTACATCCTTTTCCTGCCGATGATGATCACCTTCCACGATCTCAGAGCCTTCTTTCACGAACTTTAACACGAAAACCGCCTGCCCATTGCTCAAATCCTTATCGAACAGCCAATTATAAACGTCCCACGAGACTTGTATCGAAACCCCATCAACTTCGATCCTCTCATTGCCTCTAAATTTCCATTTAAGCCGCTTTATTTGCAGTACCCTTTCGTTATCGACGCTGAAACAGAGCTTCGCATCGTCGTTTACCTGACAATCAATCGAAATCTCCCTCTCTTTGCCTCCGGATCTTAACTTTGTATTGTACACTTGGTTGCCAAATACATGCTCTCTTCTCGAAACATGACCTTGGCTTCTCCTACACCTTTTAGCTCTAGTTCTGGAATAAGCTTCTTTGATAGCATCACCAACAAGAAGCATCATTTCGCCATCAACAACAGCAGCAACAAAGAACCCGGATTCGGGCTCAGGCCCGGATCCGAACTTTGCCCGGGAAAAGTCCCAGAATACCTTAACGTTAGGGACTGATGAACAGCTGAGCTTTTTACAACCATTTTTCTTCCAAAAAGAAAAAGAATCGAAATTGAGAAGAAAATGGAGGGTGGAGTTGGAAAGGGAGGGATGAATAGAGAGAGGAGAAGAGGGAGAGCAGTGGGAGGAAGGGTGGAGTTGGAGGCGGAGGGAGTGGCCGAGGAAGGTGCAGGACCAGGTAAGGGAAAACAGGCCTAGCTTTGTGTTGTAGAGACTTGTGGCGGCGAAGTTAATTTTACCTGACTTTTGCAGCGGAGAAACCGGCGTCTGATGGTCGTCTGCGGTGGCGGAACGGCCGAAGCAAGAAGGGAAGGATGAGAAACGGTGGCAGCGCTGGGGGGACATTACTTAATTTGGTTGCCTGTGATTATAATAAAGGGAATTCGGGATTTATTAGAATCAAAGATCGGTACAAGACAAAACAAGGAAACTTTCTTTCTTTTCCTGCCTGAAAATTGACTGACGTCTTTAAAATATTAATTTCTTATTATCGAAATTTTAATCACAAAGCTGTTGATTATATTTTTAACAGCTTACTCTTTAACAAATTTAAAATAATTTATATTTATCTTAATTATATTTTTTACTAATCTAATTGTTAATTTAAATCAAATATGAATATACATTTAAATTAACATTAATTGATCTAATAAATAAAGTGTTTAATATTATCTCTTTATAATATTTGATTTAAATTAATTATCAATAAATTCATTGTTTATTTTTACGTAAAAAGATTAAAATTTATTTTAAAAATAAATCTCTTAAATCCTATGATAAATTACATTACATGATTGTATTTTTCATTATACTATTTCTTAAATATCAATAAATATTATAAATGAGTCTTTCATTTATTAATAAAACTACAAATAAGTCACCTAGTGTAAAAAAATGTAGAAACTAGGTTTTTCCCCCAACAAGACAAATAGTTTTATTAATTAGCCCAATAGGATACATAAAAATTTATTTTGGGATCTACGATATTTGATACAGTATTTAAGTAACTCGTCAATTCGAAGTGACGAGTTTTATCAATTAGTGTACATAACAATCAAACGATCGATAGTGCAACACATTATATAATTATCAATTAATTGAGTAATTTGATTAAAACTTTCCAAAATTCAATACTATTAACAAATGAAATATCTCGCATCATACAATCATTTAGTATCTAATGGTTTGTTCATTATAATCGATCAATAGTGTGATTATGATTTGATCGATTAATACCATACAAAGCTACTCATTTTCAATAAAAAAAATTAATTATGTGATGCATTTGTAACTTTACAAAAATTAGGTGCCCCATTTACTGTCTTGCTACTAATTGAGTGACTTTTGGTGTAATCAGGGATGGGGGAATTAAAACCAAGCTTTCTTTACATCTGCCATTTTCAACGACAGATGTATACACACAAAAAAAAACAGAGTTCACATTATATTACTAATATTATCAATTTTTTAATCCTTAAACTAATATTTTTTTACTGAACAAGAGTCAAATGAGCTAATGATTACAGATATTGTCTTGCAGTTACCTCATATTAATAATAAAAAACCACTTTTTCGGTCCAAAATCACAAGTAATTAATAAAATTATGGTTTCTTGAGCTTTGACCAAAGCTATTGAAACCAAAATGTGATTTCCTTAGATAATTTTGTTATTTTAAGAGGACCATTTACCTTTAAAAGTAAAATCAGATGCTGCCATGCATACATGGAGGGATGGGCATAGCTGTGTCTACTTTTATTAGAAGCACATTTTTAATGTATCATGGAAAGTATTCATCACGTGTTGGAAGAATGATCGAGCTGCAGACTAACGCGCATGACATACTGCATGGTGTGCATGGAGAAGGTTCAAGAAGCTTGAAGTTAAGCTTATAGTTGATGGTGTATGTTGTGTTGCAGGCAATCAGAACCATAGGTTGTTAGGCTATTGTTACACGGTTATATTTGTCAAAGTTTGTTAAGAAGGTTGCTTCTTGGTTCAACAACCGAGTGCTATATAAATCATGTACTTCTTCACTGGTTAATAAATGAAATCGCAGTAATTGTTTTGAAATAACTCTTATTTCTCAAAATGGTATCTTTCGCTAAGGGTCATGGGGCTCCTATGCTTGTTGCTGCTTAATTCATTATTTTCCTGTTGGGTATCATGTTTACCAATAAAAAGGTTAATGTGGTGCTAGACGAGACAAACTACTTGCTATGGAGGTAGTAGGTTCTGCTTACGGTGCGTAGTCATCGTTTGGAGCGGCTCCTCAATGGCACGATGCATGTTCCATATGAGTTTACTGTCAATGTTGAAGGTATGTCAGTCGTTAACGAGGCGTTTGAGGATTATATGGCACATGATAGTGCTCTTGCCTCGTGGCTCTTATCGACGATTAGTGCTCCCCTTCTGCCACAGTTTGTTGGAGATAAGACTGCAACAGTTGTGTGGAGTATAGTTGTTCAGTTCTTTGTTAATAAATCCACAACTACATTGATGAACTTGCATTATAACCTGCAAACACTGAGGAAGGGTGATGATTCCATGCGTGTGTACCTCACTTGAATCAAAGAGGTCTGTGATGCACTTGCATCATGTGGCAGCCCAGTTTCGTAGGTAGAGCATGTGGTTAGTATTCTGAAAGGATTGCCAAGAGAATACCAATCCTTTATGGGTGTCATAACATCGAGCCCTGACACACTTTCACTTGATAGAATATATTCCATGCTGGTTAATGCAGAGACACAACTGGATGGCTTTGATTCACAACCTTTGAATCTTTCTATGAGTGCTAATGTGGCTCAAGGACAAATTCATGGTAGATCTACTGGATCTAAAACTTCTCATGAATTCAAACAGCAGTTATCAACAATGTGTGGTGGTCGAGCTGGTGGTAGAGGTCGTGCACGACTTCAATGTCAGTTATGTGGTAAGGTTGGTCATTCGGTTGATCGATGCTGGTACAGGTTTGACTGTGACTTTGCAGGAATTCTTGCCACTAATGCTCGTACACAATACAAAGATGAGTCGAGTAGTGTTAATTTTGTTAACCTTGATAGTGTTGCTTGTACGTGTTGTGCTAGTAAGACTGGAGCTAGTTCAGTGCCTACACAGGGTGTTGCTGCTCCTTCTACAAGTGTGAAATCATCTCGTGCTCAGTGGATCATGGACTCGGGTGGGACGCACCATGTCACTTCTGATGTTTCTCACATCAACCACCCCACTGATCTTGATGGACCAAGTAATCTTGTGGTTGGAAATGGTTCCTCTCTTAATGTTCAATCTGTAGGTCGATCTATCTTAAGGTCGTCTTCTCAAACCTTGCTACTTACTGATCTGTTGCATGTTCCTAAAATCACTAAACACCTTCTCTCTGTGTCAAAGCTTGATAAGGATAATCACATCTTCTTCGAGTTTCATGCTGATACCTGTTGTGTTTGAGATGAAGTAACAGGCAATATACTTCTTCAATGAAGGCATAAAGGAGGACTTTATACTTTTACCTTGGATAGTCAGCTGAGTGCTTGTAATAATGCTAAGGCTTATTCAGTTCATAGTCATTGTAACTCGTTTGAGCTTTGGCATAAGAGATTAGGTCATCTAGCTTTTTTGACTTTGAAATTGGTTTGTAATTCCATTGTTGTTAACATTTCAAATAATTCAAATCAGTTGTGTGTTGCTTGTTGTTTGGGTAAAAGCCATAAGCTGTCTTTTGTTGACTCAACCACAGTGTATGATGAGCCATTTTAACTTGTCTTCACAGATCTATGGGGGCCTTCACCATAGCCCTTAGCTGGTTTTTGGTATTACATCTCATTTGTAGATGTGTGTACCAGGCATACGTGGGTATACTTGTTGAAGAATAAGTCACATGCTATAGTTGCCTTTAGGTTGTTCAAGAGCATGGTCGAGACCCAATTCTCACTGTCAATCAAAGTCGTACAAAGTGATTGGGGTGGTGAATATAGGAATTGGACAGATGAGTTAGTTCATGCAGGAGTCTTTCATAGAGTCATTTGTCCTCATTCATCTGAGCAAAATGGAGTCGTTAAGCGTAAGCATAGACATCTAATTGAGTTGGCACTTGTGGTGCTGGCACAAGCCTCTTTTCCAATCAAGTTCTGGTCCTATGCAGTAACCACAACAATATACTTGGTAAACAGACTGCCAACTAAGGTGTTGAATAATATTTCTCCTTTTGAGAAGTTATATAACAAGAAACCCGACTTGTAACATCCTCAATATCGGGATAGTAACTAGATTAAAAATTTTCAAAAATTGGTGATTAAAGTAGGATAATTGAATAGTTCAATGATTTATTGGAAATATATGATGTAGGTTATTTAGTACTTATGGAATGAATTAAAGGGTAAAATGGTTAATTGATAAGTAAGATTTTTATTCTTCCTTTATAAGAAAAGGGAACCACGTGGAAAGGGAGAGATTTATCCATAGTTCTCTTCTTCTCCTTTATTCTTCTTCACGTGGAAAGGGAGAGATTTATCTATAGTTCTCTTCTTCTCCTTTATTCTTCTTCACGTGGAAGCCAAGAGAAAAGGTAAGTTTGATTTAGCTGTTGATTTCTTGAATTTTTAAGTTGGATTTGAGTCTTTGGGGGTTATATAAGCTTAAGGAAAACTTATATAAGTTTAAAACACCAAGAAGAGAGAATTAGAAAGGAATTTCTATTAAGAGTTTATAAATGAACTTTTATTATAAAAAGGTTTTTGAAGTTCTAAGGATGAATTTGACTTGTCAAGGGTCTAATTAAGAAGTTAGAAGCAATAGAATTGAATTTGGAACATGTTGAAAGTTTAGTGTAATTCTTGAATTACATATGGAGAATAGGATTTTGATGTTAAAGAGGTGATTAATGAATACAAATGAGTTTGAATATGAGTATGTAAGTTAATAATAAGAAAGGGGATGGTATATGAAGAAATTAAGCTGAAAAGAGTGGATTTTCGGGCATTAATTGGAATTCTGGGCTAGTGTGCATCGGTACACATTCATCATGTACTGATGCATCAAGGGTAAATTTCCAGAAATTATTCAGTGTGTATCGATGCACAGGAAGTGCATCGATGCACCCCTTAAAAATGGAAACATCGAATGCAATTAGTGCATCGATGCATAAGGAGTGCATCGATGCATAAGGAGTGCATCGATGCACATGTTAAGGGATGCATCGATACACTGTAGAATGTATCGATGCACTTCAAGGGGAAATAAAAATAAACCTTTCTTTTAGTCTAAGAAATGATAGATTAGAGTATATTAATTGGATACTAATATGTATAAATGTATGATTATGTAGATATCGAACACGAACAAGTTCCGGTATGATCATCAAGTTAAGATTCAATCGAAAGAAAGGAAAT